ACAGATGTACTCAAGCAGGAGGACCTACAGCTGTTTAAACATCTCAGGATGGTTTATGCTTTCAAGGAGTCAGAAACATGGACAGTGGTGGCCCTTTTATTTCTCTGTGATATTCATATCGGTGTGCTCTATTAATTTATGGTGTCTCTTAGCAGATAGCTTACGGGAAGAAAACAATTCAAGAAATGCTATCAAGTGAACAGTAATTTCCTTGAGGAATGTGCTTCTCAGTAGTATAGTTAACCATAGTAGACCATGTAAACAAAGCACAGGACGCAGAAAAAGGGTAAGGCAAGAAGGATGAATAGACACGGGGAACTCAGGGAAGAAGTGGAAAGAATGCTGTTACATTGCGGGAAATGCGACCAATGTTACCAAATAAAAGATGTATAAATTGTTGAATGGAAAAGAAGCATCAGAGAGAGAAAAAGAAAAAAAAGGAACCAAAATGTTTATAATGCATAACACTCCTTGACCTAGTAATACTGCTTTGGAGAATTTGTCTTAAGGAATGAAACAGAGATGTGTCCAGGATTTACACACAAGGGCATTTATAGTGCTGTTCTAACAGTGAAAAATTGAGGTGACCTATATGGCACTGTAGGATAAGGCACTATTTACACACAAGAGCATTTATAGTGTTGTTCTAACAGTGAAAAATTGGAGTGACCTCTGTGGTGCTGTAGGATAAAGCACTAGACTGGTTTGAACTGCAAGGTCGATTTGAACCGCAAGGTTGGCAGTTCAAACCCACCAGTTGCTCCTTGGAAACCCTATACAGGGTTGCTGTCAGTGAAAATCAACTCAACGGCACTTAACCACAACAGCAAACGCCCAACTATAGGTTAAAATAGTTTTTACTCATATGTTGAGAAAACATGCAACCATTACAAGGTAAGTTTTCGAGGAAGAGTTAATGGCATGGAAAAAAAAAATCAAGACAAAGGAGAATAAAAGAGCTCAGGATAGTATATTATTAGTACCTTTATGATTCTCTACAGTTTCACAAAATTCTACATTGAACACAAACTACTTTTAGAATCACATCATATATGCATCTGTGTAGATCTTGAAAAGAGATCCCAGTAAAGCTGGGGCAGTTTTAGCACCTAGCTTTCAATAAATGTTTGTGGAGTAGATAGCTGGATGGATAGATTAATGACTGACTGACTGAATAAATGAATGGTAGTTGACATTTGTAGGCACCACTATGGAGTCGATAAGACCGCAGAAATAACCAATGTAGATTTACTGGTTAAAAGGAGAACGTTTCAGACCAATCATCAGCTTGAAGGATGGCATGTAAGGTACTGAAGGGGGGTCACAAAATAAGTGAGTAATTGACAGTAACCAAGGAGTTGAGGTTTGCCCTTGGGTTCCTTGCTACCCTTGTTGCCTAACTCTTGACCCCGTGGTTCCTCTTGTTCTGTGTGTGTGTCCTTAAATAATCTCTTGTGCCTGCTATTTTCACCCTGATCTCTGTTCAGTGTAGCCAGTAAAATTGAGCATGGTGAGCATGAAATCAGAGTCATTAGTTCAATTCCTATTTGAACCAGTTAACACTTCTCCACACAGGGAGAGGGTATTTCAAGGCTAACTGGCTGGCCAGCTCTCAGAGAGGTACTTATAGATCATGTGGACAAGCAGGAGAGTGTTGGTAGGTCAGAGTAACCTGCCTTTTACACTTGTGAAACAGAAGGACCCCTACACATAGGGCTGTGTGTCCTTATATTTTTAAGAATAGTCCTCTCAAACAGGTGTAACATGCCTAACTCTGGTTACCCAAGGAGTTAATATAAAGCCTAGTATAGGTCACAGTTTTGATAACAAACTTCATGAAAACTAAAAATGCGATTGATTGACCTACAGTCTATCATATAAGGTCTTAATATTGTTTGTATATTTTGATCAAATTGTTGAACAGAATCTGGCTTCTTTGCAAGTCCATTAGGAGACCACATTAAATGCATGAATGAAATCCAAGTGATTCTCCATCAGGACTTTCTCTTATCTGTGAAGGAGCCTGCGTCAAAGAAAGCTATTACACGTTTACATAGCATTCTGTACTTCTGTTCTTGGTGGCTGATTTTAAATGCAATGTTCTTAATTATAGTTACTCTTAAAAGCCACCTGTATAACAATAGTGCCTTGTTTGTGTCAGATCTATCTTGCTACTGGGCATTAGATTTACTGTTTGTCTTTATCAACTTGAATCACCTCTCATCACTTATTTTCCAAAACCCCAGTTATGGTTGAGTAATTCAGAGTTCTGAGCCTAATTGTCTTTGTCCTGGAGGTCTTAATATCTGAAGATGAAGGACTCCCTGAAATTGGTCCGTTAGTTGTTTCATTCTTCAGGTTTTTCAAGGAAGAGGAAGAAAAAACAAACATTTTTTTGAGCAGTTACAACGTGTTGCACTCGACTAGGCATGTTCATATACATTATCTGAGTTAATTCTCACTACAATCGTATAAATGAGGAAACAGCTTTGAGAACTTAAGTGACTGAGTCATAATTTGAACACTGGTCTGTTGAACTTCAAAGCCTGTGATTTTTTCCACTGCACAGACTGACTTCCAGAGCTTGGAGGATTTCATAGTCAGACGGAACCTACTGAGACAGTGCTCAATTAACTACCCTTCCTTCAGCTCCAACTCTCTCCTGTAAATTAATTTTCATTCCACTTTGCGTGTGTTACTTTGGCAAGGTAAGTTCTTTGCAGCAAGACTAGGAAATTCAGCCCCCTTTGAGCCATCAATAAGAAAGACATTGGTTTGCGTCTATTTTCAATGTTATCCAAAACTCAGTTGCTATTTGTATTTTACCTAGTTCCCAGTAACTCAAAACCCAATCCAAGAGTGTTTCTTATTCCTGCTATAACTGTTACTTGTTGGTTGTTCAGGACTTGAAGGCGTTGTGAACCATCATCTTCTTGAGAGTCAAGAATTCTTCAGTCATAGGAATGTAAAGCACACTGTGGTGAAGGCAAGCATGTTCTTCCTCTGAGCCAGAGTGGCAAAGCAGAGCAGCTGTGAAAAGAGCTATCAAAGGAGATCAGTGAGAAACAGTCCACTTGGGATGGAGGTGGAAGGTGAAGGACAGGGGGGAGAAGGGCGTATAGACTTTGAAAAGTGATCATTACCCTCTGCACAAAGAAAGCTGGGAGTTCATGTAAGCCTGGCCTTCCCTGAAGTTAATTACCAGATTACTATCTGCATCTCTGATATTGGTCATCTTCTACCAAGGTTGTTTTGGCACCGTATCCCAGACAAATTAATTCATACTGTTTTTATTTCTTCTTGCCCTCTTTTCTTGTCAACTCAGCAGCTTTCTAGGGAGATAATTCAGTTTAGGGCTTTGAAAGCCAACCTTGCTAGGAGTCTGCCAGGAGACCAGGGGGTTGAGGAAAGAGTTTTAGGGAAAGTTCTGGAAGGCAGACAGTGGTTCTAGATTTCTTCCCCATTCTGTCCTCAAGTTTCTGCTGCCAGATTTGTACAGAGGGAGACTGAGTAGAATTGTCAACTACCAACGTCATCATTTTCTGTACCCTGAAGAAGGCAGAATGAGGCACCTGCTGCTGTGGGATTAGGAAAATGTAAATTTGGGAAGAAATGGGTGAAGGTCTACATCTGAGAAGCAATGTGGGTCCAGTATGGTGAACACAGCAGGGTCTGCGTTGGTAAGTTCTAACCTTCCCCCCTCTTCCCTCCCTCCCAGTGTCTCAGGATTTGTGGTTCAACATTGCCATCAGCTTAAGCCAACTGAGGGGAAGGGACACCTCTAACTTAAAGAGTTGATGGGCTGGGTGAGGTAACAGCAGAAATCACTGAAAGATAGGATCTTTCCCAAAGAAACACTGCTTTGAATGCCATGAGGTCTGAGAAAAGATAAGCTTTGGACTCAGTTCTGTTTCCTATACTTTATACAAACTCACTATAATAAAATCCCTGATTTATAGTGAAGGACATGAGGTCTAGGGATTGCTCACTTTACTAAAGCCATCACTATAGCAAACCGTTAAAAAGAGCAAAACCTGATGTCTCTAGTGCTGTATGTATGGTCCAGGTCAGTAACCAGTAGCCACATGTCAGCATCTGAAATGTGGCTACTTTGAACTGAAATGTGCTGTAAGGGTCAATTACACACTGGATTTTGAAGACTTAATATGAAAAACAGAAGACTCATTGTTTAATACTGAGTACATGTTGGAATGAAAATATTTGGGGTATACTGGGTTAAAATATTAAACCCAAAAGATTAGATAAGAACCTTAGGGAGCAGCGAGATTATTAATGGGGCGGGGGGATTACAACGCAAAAAAGGAGGGTGAGAATGGTTTCACAATGGAAAGAAAATCATCAATATTACTCAGTTGTATACATAGAAGCTGTTAAATTAGTGTGTATATTACAAGCGGCAGCATCAATGGGCTCGAGCGAGGCAACAGTAGTGACATTGGCCCAGCCAGGATCGGGTAGTGTTTCGTTCTGCTGTGCATAAGGTCACTATGAGTCGGTATCCACTCAATGGCACCTAACAACAACAACATATTCTATTGTTTATGTTGAAAATATAAATAAATGCCAACTAGTTTCACCTTTTTTTTTTTTTTTTCTGGTATATAGAACTTGTATTATATGAGGGGGCTTCAAAAAGTTCGTGGAAAAGCTCCATTATCTTTTCATTCCAGTTTTCTATGAACTTTTTGAAGCCACTCCTTGTATTACACAATGCTGCCCTAGTGTATTCAAAAATAACATTTGACTTCCAAGCATTTTTTCAGTAGCCCATTTCTGAAAGTGAGACTGTACTACATGTCTCTAAGTAATCATACCTGTACAAGAGAAAGAGTCTGATTTCCAAAGGAGGACAGGGAAGAATGGAGGTTTGCAAATGGGGAAACTAATTTTAGAAGAAAGTCAGGACCCTGCCTCAGTTGCTTCTCAGCCTTGGAGTAAGGGGAGTGAGGCCTGGTCATTTGTGAGAAACAATTCCCCTAGCTTCATCTCATCTCCCAGTAGAGGTTGAAAAAAAGGGAAGGGGAGGAAATTAGAAGGTTCCCTGCTCTCACCGTCTTAGCCATCCAGTTCTGGGTGGAAGATAGTGACGATGTGGAAGGAACTTTCCCTGGGTTCCTCGGGGCCACCATTCTTGGCAGAGAGAAGGAAAAGGAGGAGTGAGGTGAGCCCCTTCTTCGCTCCCAGGGCCATCTGGTAGAGTTGCTGCCGTACCTCCTTCTGCCAACAGGCATAGATGAGTGGGTTGAGCAGGGAGTTGCCTACACCAAGCAGCCACAGGTACCGTTCCAGCACTAGGTAGAGGTGGCAGTCCTGGCAGGCCACCTGCACGATGCCAGTGATAAGGAAGGGGGCCCAGGATAGAGTGAAGCTCCCAATGAGAACAGCCACAGTGCGGATAGCCTTGAAGTCACTGGTAGTACGTGGGGCCCGGTAAGTTCCAGCCGTGGCTCCGGCATGTTCCATCTTTCGGATCTGCTGACTGTGCATGGAGGCAATCTTGAGTATGTCACAGTAGAAGAAGACAAAGAGGAGCAGAGCCGGGAAGAAACCAACGCAGGACAGGGTCAGCACAAAGCGAGGGTGAAACACGGAGAAGAAGCTGCAAGACCCCTGGTAGGTGGTCTGCTGGAACATGGGGACTCCGAGTGGGAGGAAGCCAATGAGGTAAGACACCAACCACAGCCCGGCAATGCAGGTCCCAGCCACGAGCCCATTCATGAACCGGAAGTAGCGGAGGGGCTGCTTAATGGCAAGGTACCTGTCAAAGGCGATCAGCATGACTGTGAGGACAGAGGCAGCCGAGGAAGAAGTGACAAATGCCATCCGAAAACTGCACAGTGTCTTCTGGGTGGGCCGAGCAGGACTGGAGATCTGGTCTGTGATTAGGCCGGAGATAGCCACACCAATCAAGGCGTCAGCTACAGCCAGATTCAAGGTGAAGCAGAGACCCACAGTTTCACTTCTGTGGAGCAACCACAGCACAGTCACAGCCACTAGTACGTTTGCAGCGATGATGAGGAAGGCCAGGACAGCAAGGACCACTCCAAAGGAGAAAGACGATTCCATGGCGCAAAGTGGCCAGACTTGTGCTTACCAGGGAGTGTGGGTTCTGCAGCTCAAATTCTCAAGTGCCCTGGCTTCAGAGGACCAGCGCAGTTCTGGCTGTCAAGCTTGCAGCTTGCCACCTTGGGGTCCTGCAGGTCACTGAGGATCCCTCCCTCTGTCTTCTTCAGTCCTCAGCTAAGCCTACTGCCTCTCCTGCTCTCTGAAGGCAGCTAGTCCCTGAGCAGACCTCCCCCTGGGCCCTGAGTTAGTCCCTCCCCTTCCAACGACAGTTACTAGACAACCCCCAAGTCCCCGGCACACGCTTTCTTGCCACTCTCTCTCCCTTAGTTGATGCTTCAAGGACTTTGGAGCGACAGGGACATTATCAGGTCTCCTGTCTGGCAGAAGATATAATTGACTGTAATCACACTTTTTCTTCCTTCATAGTTTGATATTAAATTTCCACTTCTTTTCTTCCTAAGCTTCAAGTATTAGTTTAATAACTAATCTCAGCTTAATGAAGCATTAGCTTAATAACTAATTCTCAGTTACTATTATGAGTGCTTGCAATCGAGCAAGTTGATCATCATCAGTTGAAGTAGGAAGTGAGGGCAGGTGAGTTATATCAGGGACCCAGCCTCCTTCACTGGGTGGGTAGATGGTGTTGTTAAGTGCCATTAAGTCTGTTCTGACTCTGTATAGAGTTTCTGAGGAGCAGCTGCCGAGCTTGAACCACCAACCTTGTGTCTTTGCAGTCTAGTGCATTATGGGTTCAATTTCTAATTCTCTCATATTGGTTGTCCTGTTCCTCAGTTTCTTATTCCCTGGAATTCAATTTGTTGACAATTCAGAAGGCTAGGGGGAAACTAAGGAACATAATTGTTAATAGCTGTCAGTTTGCCCTTAGGTGGTACAACCCATTAACACTCCAGGCTGCTAAAAAAGTTGGAAATTTGAATCCACTCAGAGGTGTCCTCGGCGGAGGGGGGGGCGGGGGGCAATTCCTAGCGATCTACTTCTAAGAAATCAGCCCCTGAAAGCCCTGTGGAGCACAGTTCTCCTCCGACACTTATAGGGGTGCCACTTGTCGTCAAGTCATTCAGTTTAGACTTGTTATCAAGTGCCATTGAGTCGGTTCTGACTCATAGGCACCCTGTATAGGGTATCTGCCAAGCAACTGGTGTGTTTGAACTGCTGACCTTGTGATTCGCAGTCCAGTGCTGATCCTTCAGCGCCACACCAGGAGTCCATTTCCTAGTTAAAGCTGCTGTCTGTTGGGTATACTTAGTGAGAACCTTTTCTGCACCCTGTCCTGTCTTGTGTTTAGTTAGTGGGTCCTGACTACCAGGCTGGCCTTTCTCGGCCCTGTGGATCCAAGAGGTCCCTGCAAGAGGACAGGAGACAAGCTGCATTCTAGAAAGTGTCTGCTATCATATTGTTGTTAAGTGCCTTCAAGTCAATTCTAATTCATAGCGACCCGTATAGTGTTTCCAAGGAGCGGCTGGTGGGTTTGAACCACTGACCTTGTGGTTAGCAGTCCAGTGCTTAGCCTACGGTGCTATACCAGGACCACTATCATATTTGGCTGTGGAATTTTCCATTTTGCAAGGCAAGGACTTGCGGTGGTTAAGCCAAAGGAGAGCAGTGTTGCTGAGGCAGGGGAAATGGACTCAGGGAGTTTACCCCCATTTTCGGTTGTATATCCATTTGCTCAGGTACATTAGAACTAACCTTTTGCCTGCCTCTCTCATCTTGGATACCAAGAAGAGAGGGGTGGAGAGAAGAGCGGTTCGGAGCGTATTTACTCAGTTCAGGTGATAACGCAAATGGACAAGGTTAGTGTTTTAAGCGAGGGAGCGGAGAGCAAGGTGCAAAGCGAGAGGCAAACACTCTATTCCAGGATGTTTTGTCAGTCTTAGAGTGCCTTTGGCAGATGTCTCCCCTGCAAACTATCAGAAAGCTCGTGCTGTGGGACTTGCTATTCTAGTTTTCAGCCTGATAACAGTTCATACTCTGATGCACCCATTAGGTGGTTAGTTTCAGTTGCTTAGCATCTGGCCTAATTTTATACCTAGACTTGAAGTGTGATTTTATTTTCCAATCCAGCTTCCAATATGGAGTCAGGATGGCCCTTTGCAACCCCATGTTTCAACGTTAGAGACCATCAGAATCCCCTGGAAGGCTTGTTAAAGCACAGATTGCCAGGGCCTCATCCCCAGAGTTTGGATTCAGTAGCTATGGAATGGGCCCGAGAATCTACATTTCTAATAAGTGCCCTGGAGATACCGATGCTGCGATTAGAGACCCACACTTGGGTCTAGTGCAGTGTTCTTAGCCTTAGCTGTACATCAGAATCACTTGGGGAATTTTTTTAAAAAATGCTAATGCTTGGATCTCT